AGAGAAGCTTGTGATAATCACAGTTGGCAATGCTTTGGAGATGCAAAAGTATAATCCAATCCAGTATGGGGAAAATATACACCACATGAAGATCACTCTTGCTGAATCCAATAAAATATTCCAATACCCTTAAACTCAGTTTTTTCCAAATCTGGTTTCCTAGTTTTCTGAGGGGCAAATTATAGTTCAATACATCTGGAAGGCACTAAAAGTTGAGGTGGGGAAAGTATTTTTGCATATATGAAACAGACTTTTGATAGAGAGGTGTATCAGACAGCAGAAAATGTGTAATTATTTCTTTACTGTATTATATCAGTTTAAGAAAGTTTTCCTTTCGGCACAAGGAAGATTAGTGCAATCCAATGCTTCTCCTCCCCCTTCCTCAGTTTCTGCTGCCAAACTTTTTCCCCTTCACCTCCAGGGCAAACAGAAGCCAGCCTGGCTTGGATTACAAAAATGGCCTCTCTTAACACAGAAAACAACTCTATCTCTGGGATTTTTTGTTACTGAACAATCTGTAACGTGACAAGGTCTTCGACAGGGGGCTGCTGTAAAAAGAAGTGTATTTTACTGTTCTCCAGAGGCACAGTTGAAAACATATGTCAACAGACAACATGTCCCTTTCTGGGTTTTTTAAAATACATACAAAACTTTTTTTCTACCCACAAAGAACAGGATTTAATTGGGGAAATGGTATAGGCAGTGCTCCCAACGTCTGTAGACCAGTAACATACAGGAATAGTAACAAGAACAAACCAAGTTCAATCCTATTACTTCCTAATCATTAAAAATAAATCTGATGAGGTAGAATTAGTCCATGGAAGCTTATGCTAACAACGCCTTTCTCACAGTCTCAAAGGTGCTACAAGATCTCTTTGTAAACCAAAAATAAAGTTAGCTAGAACGCTCTGCTCCACTCCAACTCATGCCAGATTTTCCAAACACTTTGTATGTGATCACTGCATGCTGAGTAGGCAAATAATGGTTTTGGCAAATCTACCAGAGAGTCTTCTAGAAGATTAGGGAAGGCCAACTAATTATATAGAGCAGTGGTTCTGAACCTTCCTAATGCCGTGACCCCTTAATACAGCTCCTAATGTTGTGGTGACCCTCCAACCATAAAATTATTTTCGTTGCTACTTCATAACTGTAATTTTGCTACTGTTAGGAATCGTAATGTAAATATCTGATACGCAGGATGTATTTTCATTCACTTGACCAAATTTGGCACAAATACCTAATATACCCGAATTTGAATACTGGTGAGATTGGGAGGGATTGATTTTGTCATTTAGGAGTTATAGTTGCTGGGATGTATAGTTCACCTACAATCAAAGAGCATTCCAAACTACACCAACAATGGAATTGAAACAATCTTGGCACAAAGAACTCCCATGATCAACAGAAAAAACTGGAAGGGTTTGGTGGGCAGTAACCTTGAGTTTTGGAGTTATAGTTCACCTACATCCAGAGAGCACTGTGGACTCAAACAATGATGGATCAGGACCAAACTTGGCACAAATACTCAATATGTCCAAATGTGAACACTGGTGGAGTTTGGGGAAAATAGACTTTGACATTTGGGAGTTGGAGTTGCTGTGATTTATAGTTCACCTAAAACCAAAGAGCATTCTGAACCCCACCAATGATTAAATTGGGCCAAACTTCCCACACAGAATCGACATGAACAACAAAAAATACTGTGTTTTCTGATGGTCTTTGGCAACCCCTCTGACACGCCCTCATGACCCCCCCCCCCCCCAGGCCTGACTCCCAGTTTGAGAAACACTGGTATAGAAGCTATCTCCATAAGCTGGTGACAAATAAAGAAATTAAAGTGTTTTATGCTTCCAAATTATGCCATGGACTATTAGCTCAACATCTTGTGATTAATCTATTAGCATTATTCTCTCTACTGTACACTGCCCTTCAAACTTGTGAAGTCGCACATCTCTGCACCACGAAGACATCCTTGGCTTATTCACCAGCCCCAAGCAGCACTGACCAGTCATTTTTACCCGACATGCCACTCGCCCTATTTCCACCTCCTGGTTTCCAACCAGGAGCAGAAATACAGGAACCGACATGACTACTCCCAGAGCCAAACCTCATCTGGAAATAGCCGGCCTGGGCTGGGAGGGTGGCGGCTATGAATCCTCAAAAAGGCTTCCAAACACAGTGGCCAGACGCTCTGAAATAAAGCCAGCCAGATAACCCACATTTAGTTAGGGAATGTCTTCAAGTAGACCTTTCTTTCCACTCCAAAGGAAGGGAGCATTTTATCACTAGTCACTTCCCTTCCAAGGAGTAAACCCATTGTGATTAAGGGCAACCAAAAATGGAGGCCTGGATTCACCTCCTCAAAGTGAAGGGCTCTTCCACACAGCCCTATATCCCAGAATATCAAGGCAGAAAATCCCATATTATCTGAGTGTGGACTAAGGCACATTCCACACAGCTGAATAAAATCCCACATTATCTGCTTTGAACTGAAATACAT